ATCAATATACGTACTCGGCCCTCCTATACTCGAATCCCGGCTCCGTCACTGGCCACCGCAACTTAAGCTTTCGCTCTGCATCTGACCATTATTGAGCTTAAGCTGCCATGCAATCTGTGTATGTATGCATGCACGCTGTACTCTGGCCAGACGACTCCGGCTGTCTGCTGAACGTGGTTTCCAAAACCACTGCTTGTGGTAGCAGCTTAGATGCAGCTAGCGGAACGTAGGTGCAACGTGGAGCAGGTTCTCCGGACAACAGGGCGAGCTGGAGTGAATCTGAGTTGCCGGCTTGCCGCGTACATACGTTGTCGGTGCTAGCTTAGAGAATCATCGACCAATCATGGCAAATCTTGCCTCGGTGTTGGGACACCGTCACGCAACACACTTCCAAATGCGCGGCCGGCTCAATATACAATTTGTTGGTTCTGGAGCAAAGCTAGCGGAGCAAAACAAAGATTATGCATTTACGCCAGATACCATATGCTTTTTATTATAAGAAAGAAAAAGACGTAGCTTAGTGGCTGTGGGTACGTTTCTTCTATCACACTCGCCTAATCATTGCTTGTCAGGGTCATGCACTAAGAAAGTGCTCCCTCAGTTTAAAAATATTACTAGATGTCTTAGATGAGTGCAAAAACATACGCACAAACATTGTAACATGGCCCTTTGGACTTTATAAAGCCGCATCGATCCAAAAATAACAGTCTGTTACTTGGAACTGCGTACCTTCTTATTTACAAAGTGGAAATCTTAAATTCCCACGTCTTCTTATTTGTACCAAAATAATTCAATCAACAAAATTAAAGTGCATCTAGCCCTAACGGGACACCAACAATTTGCTTTACCTTGGATTGGGTACACTTGGCAATGGTGAAGAGATTGCAGTGAAGTTACTTCGTAACACGCTAGAAACTAACGACGGGCAATTCCGACGTGAGTTTGAGAACCTATTGAGGCTTGAGCATTGCAACAATTGTACCGTTACATGTATTTCCACATGCTATAAAGTTTGGCATGTGAAGAAAAACTGCGTCTACATGTATTTCCATTTAATTTATAGTCATTGTCTCAAATTCCAGTGGAATTTGGTGGCCTTCTATAGGCACATTGCACATGCACTCACCACTTCAAAATTGACAATGGGACATGCGGGGGTTTACAATAGTTTCATGAAGGGTTCAATTAACCAATTCGCCATTTGGACCAAAAACCTGATAACATACTTCTAGATGATATTTCTTTCCCCGAAACTTAACTTGCGGATTCTGCTTTGGCTCGTCTCTTTTGTTAAACACAATGGTCTACAACGCTTAAGGGGTTGATTTGTGCACCAGCGATGGTGTGCATGCTCAGTTGGGCCACCCTGGTTGACCGCTTACTCATGTGGCGGCTTTATGCTCGATGCATGCACATCTATTGTTTTCCTTGTTTGTCTAAAAAACAGTTACTGCTCGTTTAAAATCATTGCCAATCAATTTTCTAATAGTTTTTTAAAAAAATGGGAAATTAGAAATGTTAACAAAAATTAATTTATTCATAAATTTGAAAAACTTTCACATATTTAAAATATGTTCTGAAAGTAGACACAATTTCCTAAATTTCAAAAGGGTTCATCTCTACCTCTCTATCTCTATCTCTACCTATATATATATATATATATATATATATATATATATATATATATATAATAATAATAATAAAGAGAATTGGGTTTCTGTCGTACGTCGTCATCAATCTTACAAAAACGTCCTTCTCATTTATATGTATTCAACCCGCAGTCCTCAACTTAAGTCAACCGAACCGATATGAGCGAGAGAAAAGAAAAAAAACCGCCTCCCGATCTGGCCCGTACGCTGCCGCCCCGTGCTCTGCTCCTCCCCGAGCCCCCTCGCTCGATCCGGACCAGCAGGTCCCAAGCACCGCGGCCTGCTCCTCACGCCGGCGTCCAGTGCCACCGCAGCCGACCTCACGCAGCGCCTCAACGCGCGGCCTCACGCTTGTGCCTCCCCGCTGCCCCGCGCCGGCCGGCCACCGGAGCAGCGCCGCCGTACCAACGCGCCGCCTTGCCCTCCTCTTCTTGTTCCCTCCCCTCACTCTGGTTCTTTCTGTCACCTCCCTCTCTATCCTTCGCAGGAAGCCATGGCCGTCGGACCTCCATGCCTCCGCGAGCTCGCTGCCGGATTGTGACCTGTCCGCCGCCAAGCAATGGAGTGCCCGACATGGATTTGAGTTGTCTACAGCATGGAGGATGAGAGAGTTGATAGAAAGAGAGCGAGGTTGTTTGAAGACCTGCGGCAGGGGTGGAGCAAGCTGCATGGCCCATGTCCCGGACGAATGGGCGCTCCTCTCGAGTGTCCTCCTCCCGACGGCAGGACATGCACGGGGCGGCAGATCCGGCTGCTCCGGCGTGGATCCGGCGACTGGGCGGACAGATCGAGGCGGAGGAGCACGAGGCCGACCGAGAGGTGGCCAGCTGGAGGCGGTCAGAGCTCCAAGGCAGCGGGGGTGCTGCCTGGTTGTTCGGATCGACGCGGAGGAGCACGAGGCCGACGAAGAGGTGGCCGGCCCGGCGGCGGGGCGAGCTCCAAGGTAGCCGGACTGCTGCGGGTTGTTCTTTGGCGACTCCCTTCCCTCGAGAGGATAAGGAAAAAGCTGAGAGAGAGGAGAAGAGGGGCGGCGGCAGCTGGGGTGGCTCGTGGCAGAGAGGAGCTCCACTCTAGGTGCGGGTGCAGGAGACAGAGAGGCAGCACGAAGAGGTGAGCAACGCTTGGGTGGTGAGATGGATGGAGAAGAGAAGGATGAGCAGCGTTGGGTGGGTGAGGTAGGACGAGGAGGAAGATGGAGGCGGAGTGTCTGTGATGGGGAATGGCGATGTGTTGTTGTGGATAAGGGATACGCAGTGGGCGGTGCATGTTGCTTTTTTTAATCAACTGTACCGACTGAAAGCTGCTGGATTCAGACGTGCCGGGTGACTCGAAAGGGACCGGTGCAGATGCGTGTGCTTGGCAGCATGATTGATGCAGTACTAATCATACAAAGATGAGTACTAAGTACTATGGTAATCTTGCTGATTGAATTATGGGATTTATGGTAGTCCGCTAAATCGAATTGTTCTTAGCTATTCATGGGTGTATATCAATCAAGGGATCGGTGTTGTTCAGTTTGACTCTGCTTTATTCCATTGCTGGAGGATTCAAAAAAATTGTGCAATTTCAGTCATTTTTTGTTCATGTTTCGTCCAAATAAATTAAATTTTGGATTGTCCTTTTTGTCCGAGATTTCTAAAAAAATCCAAAATTTCAAAGTTCACCCATTTCATTCAAGGGCGGCAAATTTACAAACGAAACACAAAACCTTGGCTGGATGCTATGTGTCCTAGCACCGACTACATTCAGGCTCGATCTAAGGCAGCGCGTGTGCTCGGTTGTCGGTTGTTCGGTCATGGCAGCATGTGTGGTTGCATCGCGATGACTGGTGCCAACAACGTGCTTGGTAGCGGCTGTGTGTGGTGTGATAGACACAACAACGCAACTCAGCATCGACAACACCTATCATTCACTGACTGCTGCTGATGCAAGCAAATAGGAAATTCTGACGAGGGATGGATGTAGGAGTGTAGGAAACTCTTATGCCCTTTTATACGTTTTTGAGGGGGGTTGTACCCTTTCCTCTCTTTCTCGATCTCTTTCTTTGGAACGACGCGCATAAGAGTGACAATGTACGGTTGCGGATGACAATGATTGGCATTGGATCTGCACATGTGTAGTAGGACGGTGGCTCGTGTTGAGCAGGTCGGCGACATCTTGGCCCCCTCTATTTTTCTCGTCGGCTCCCTGTACGGCTTTATCAACGAGCCGACGTGGATTTATTGTTTTTGTATGAGGAAATGTGGTTGCCCTTCGTATGATACATCTTCACATGGCACAGGGTCCATTGATTACATGTTTCGCAGCCTTAGGTTAATCATATACGTCTTGCGCTTCCCTCCCTAAAAATTCTACTTTGCTCGACCCGGTAGCTTCTAACATGATGAATGACATGTTAAGTTCTTTCTCCCGGTGCAACGCACGGGCATATTTACTAGTTAATATTAAAAACGCTTGCAAAATTTTATATTGTTCATTAATTTACTTCTTGATTTGAAGAATATTAATGAATTGTAAAAAATTTCTGAATTTAAAAAATGAACAAAATAATAGAAAAAACAAGTAAACCCAGAAAAAAAACAGACGGAGAAGAAAACTAAGAGAAACCAGACGGGAAACTTGGAGAAACCGCTATTCTGTCTAGGCCAACCAATATATGCATGTCTCTCTCGCTTCGCTAGCTGGCCATGATCCCGGTTTGGGGAAGCTCCTCTGGCCGGTTTTGGGAAGTTTCAGGTTCAGTTTCGTCGTTGCTACTCTTTTTTCCTTTTTCCTGGTTCTT